TTTTGAATGCCTTTTCTCTAATTGCTGTGGCTGTGGCGCCAATACTGTGTTGAATAGAAGTGGTAATAATGGAGATCTTTGCCTTGTTTCTGATCTTACCGGAAAAGCGTTCAGTTTTCGCCAGTAAGTATGATGTTAGGTGTGGGTTTATCATATACAGCCTTTATCATGTTGAGATATGTTTCTTCTATAACCGCTCTGTTGACTTTTTATCATAAAGGGATGTTTAATTGTGTGAAATGCTTTTTCTGAATCTATTGAGATGATATATGATTTTTATCCTTAATTTTGTTACTGTGATGTATCACATTGATTGATTTACAGATATTAAACCATCCTTGCATCCCTGGAATGGATCCCACTATGTCATGGTGTGTAATCCTTTTAATGTATTGTTGAATCCAGTTTGCTAGTATTTTGTTGAAAATTTTTGCATCTGTGTTCATCAAGAATATTGGCTTGCCGAAACCGGTTTGGCTCAGTGGATAGAGCGTCGGCCTGCGGACTGAAGGGTCCCAGGTTCGATTCCAGTCAAGGGCATGTACCTGGGTTGCGGGCATATCCCCAGTGGGAGATGTGCAGGAGGCAGCTGATCGATGTTTCTCTCTCATCGATGTTTCTAACTCTCTATCTCTCTCCCTTCCTCTCTGTAAAAAATCAATAAAATATATTTAAAAAAAAAAGAATATTGGCTTGTATGGATATTTCATATAAATGGGATTATACAATATATGGCTTTTTGTGTCTGGCTTCTTTCATGTTCTCAAGTTTCATCCAGTTATTAACAAGTATTAGTACTTCTTTCCTTTTTTAAAAAAACTTTTTTGTATTGATTTTAGAGAGGAAGGGAGAGAGAGAGAGAGAGAGAGAGAGAGAGAGAGAGAGAGAGAGACACCCATGATGAGAGAGAATTATTGATCAGTTGCCTTCTGCACACCCCACACTGGGGATTGAGCCTGCATGTGCTCTGACCGGGAATCGAACCATGACCTCCTGGTTCATAGGTTGAGGCTCAACCACTGAGCCACGCTGCCTGGGCAGTACTTTTTTCCTTTTTATAGCCAAGTAATTTTCCATTGTGTAGCTAGACCACATTTTATTTATTAATTCAACTTAATTTGTTTCTACTTTTTGGTTATTTTGAATGATGCTGCTATGAAAATTCCTGTACAAGTATCTTTTTAAAAAATGTATTTTTATTGATTTCAGAGAGGAATGGAGAGAGAGAGAGAGAGAGAGAGAGAGAGAGAGAGAGAGAGAGAAACATCAATGATGAGAGAGGATCATTGATCGGCTGCCTCCTGCACACCCCACACTGGGGATCGAGCCCGCAACCCGGGCATGTGCCCTGACTGGGAATGGAACCATGACCTCTTGGTTCATAGGTTGACACTCAACCACTGAGCCACACAGCCAGGCTATACAAGTATCTTTTTGAGTACATGTTTTCATTTCTCATATACCTAGGAGTAGAATTGCTGGGTCACGTGGTGACTCTAACTTTTTAAGACCCACCAAACCGTGCTGAGCATTTTAACCACATTATGCATCAGGTTGTCACAATGGCTCTGCCAAGGAGAAACCACCCCATTTTGGAAACAAGAATACTGAGGCTCAGAGATGTAGAGTCATGTGTCTAAGGGCACACAGCTAGAACACGATAGAACCCATCCTGCTGGGCTCAGCCCTCCTCTGGTCTCCCCGCTTCTGGCTAAGGTCACTACTCTCTGGGCAGCCCCCTGCATTTCGTACGTCCTCCCCATTTTCCTCTGTAAGTACAGGAGCTATCCTCCTTCTGCAGGGCAGCTGCACCAGGCTCAGAGGCAGACGAATATGCAGGCCCCAAAGGCTGAAAAAGGAAGAGGGCTATGAGCCCCAACATTTGAAGGGTATCCCGAGCAAGGCGGCAAAGGAACCTGAAAGCAGGACAGAGGGAAGGGGCTGACGGGAGGTTGGAAGCCTTGGCCGGGTGCCTATGGCGTTCCACTTTGGGCTCAGGAGACAGGCTCGAGCTATTTGCTTTTGTGTGGGGGCTCTGGGTGGAGTGTGGCAGTTGCACGTGCTCCATGCCTCGGGGCAACTGGCAGACCAGGCCATTCTCCATGCCCAGCCCGAGCAGCTCCAGCGTCTCTGCTGGACAGGACGCATGGATGTGAATCCCCTCTTATGTATCAAGTATCGGAGAATGATAGAAACCATGGCAGCTAACATATACTGCATGCATGCTCCCAGCAGCCCATGGGGAGAGTACATTCATCATGTCATCCCCACTTTATATATAAGGAGCAGGGTACTAGGGCTCCACGGGCCCTAGGGAGTGCCCGTGCAGGCATATAGCTGGTGGGCAGAAGCAAGGGCTGGGCCTGCCGCTGGAGGCTGTTGTGCAGTGGGAAGGGGGCCAGCCCAGGCTGCAGTGAAGTGGCCGCCAGCTCTGCTCCAGGCTGAGCCTCAGCAATTCTGCTGGCTCAGCAGCCCCTCCTCCCAGGCATGAGGTTGGAGGCTGGCTTCCTGGAGGGCTGCCCAAGTCCCACACTTCTGCATCCTAATCCCTCCGCTGGATCAGCTGGTCTGCTCTGTGGCCCCCGTCCCTGGGGTTGGGGGATTCCAGGAAAATACACATTTCTGTTTTCCTATGGATCTTCCCGTCAGCCCTGGGCTACAGGCGGACTTACTGGCCCATTTTACAGATGAGGCAGCTGGGCATCAGGAACTTGTACAAGGAGCTAGGCAGCCGTAGATCCAGGACTTCCTGGCCCTTCCTAGGGCATTAGCCTCACTGAGCAGGTTGAAGCTAGGAGAAGCTAGACAACCCTCTTCCCAGGTCTGTCCTCCTGAAGGTGGACTACACAGCAAGGTGCCCACCCCTAGGTGTGAGGTGTGACTAAGGGTATAGATGGAGCTGGAGCTGGGCAAGGAACAGAAATGCAGCAGCTGCAGGCAGGGGCCAGTTCATTACCCAGAGGAATCAGAATTCTAAATTGGAATTTGGCCTTGCAGGTCATGATGAAGGTCTATTTGTCAAAGTAGGATGATAGGACATATTTTATTTAACAGGTTATTAGCACGATTTATAACATTGAAATATTTAGACATTTACTGTGTGGGCGTCTGTTTGTACTCTGGCCCCAGGCCCTGCAAATGTTAGGCTCAGGCCAGAGTGGTTTACCTTAGCCAGCCAAAACATAGAAATAATAGTAAGGATGATTGCTATCTTTTTACTTTTTTGTAGTGTTTCCTGTGTGCTACACTGATAGGGTCTGCAGTTACAAAGATGAATAAAATCCAATTGCTTCTCAGATAGCCCAGGTAGGGAAACACAAGAATATCACAATATTCACAGCAGCCATTTGTTGAGCACTTAATAAGTTCTACTGCAAAGTGCTTTATTGATTGCATCATAATGTATCCTCAAATAACCTAAAGTAGATATTCTTTTTTAAAAAAATTGATTTTTAGAGAGAGGAAGGGAGAGGGAGAAAGAAACATTCATGTGACAGCGAAACATCAATTGGTTGTCTCCTGCAAGTCCCCTACTGGGAATCGAGCCCACAACTCAGGCAAGTGTCCTGACTGGGAATCAAACCGGAGACTCTTCAGTGCACGGAACGATGCCCAACCAACTAAGCCACACCAGCCAGGGTGGGAATATCATTCTTACCACATTTTATGGAGGGGAAGCTAAGACTTGGAAAGACAGAGTGACAAAAAAACCCCAAACCCCAAAACAATAAGAGGCAGAACTGGGACAGTGCAGCTGAGACTAACTGGGTTCTAAGCAAAAACTCATGGCCTCGAGGCTCTGGGACCATAGGTGAGTCGCTTGGCTTCTCTGAGCTTCAGTTTCTTTACCTGTAAAATGGGCACAAGCTTATCTCTGAAGTGACTAGCACCTCACTCAGCAGGTGCCTAGGAATTAGTCACCATAAAGGATGGGAGACAGGGCCCTTGCATTTAGCGACCCCTCTGACAGACCAGATCCAGACTTGCTCCCTAAACTTCATGGGAGAACCCACTGGAGAGGGGAAATGACCAGCTGCTGGTCACCTTCCTTCTGGAGGTGCTTGATGGTCTGGGCTATAGGAAGAGGGGCATCAGGCCATTATATGTGCAAACTCTCACCAAACAGCCTTGCCCCATGGGGTAATGATCTTGCCCTCCCTGCAAGTGAGGAAACAGCCTGAGCCAGGAGACAGCCGTCAAGCCTGTTATCTCCGCAGTGCTGCAGCCATTACAAGGTGAGGGACTGAGGCTCAGGAGGTCAGAAGGGTGAGACCTGTGTGAGTGTGTGTGAGTGTGTGTGTGTGTGTGTGTGTGTGTGTCATGTGGGGGTGTCAGCATCTGTCAAGCAGTCCCTGTCTAGGGCTGCCAGAGTCTGGAGGGTACACAGGCTTTGTGGGGGCTCAGATTGGTGCTGGGCAGGCCTGTGACCCTGTTGGTACTGGAGATGGGGGATTGAGGACCCCTTGGCAATAGGTGGGGCTGCACCCTAGTTTGGGGTGCTTCACTGGGGTTGGGGTTCAGATGGAGTCTTGGGAGGGAGGAGCTATTGCCCAGTGTTGTTTGTGGAGCCAGGGAATTCAAGGGAAGAAGGTGGAGGGTGCAGGGCGGAGCGGGGGTGGGTGGTGCAGGTTCCCTGACACTGAATTCATTATTGGGAGATTCCTCTTCACAATCCCTCGACACCTCCCACGGGAACCACGGGCCAGAAATGTTTGACAGCCTCTGGCGCGCCGACTCCCATGGCACAGCTGGTGCTCTGGTCTCTCCGTGCCTGGGTCTGTGCCCGGGTACCCGCCCGCCCACTGCCACCGAGTTACTCCCCCGCCTGGGTCCCGCAGCCTCTGGAAGCCTCTCCCAGCCTCAGCCCAGCAGCGCCGCCGCCGTATCGGGGCTTAAGGTCCATCTCCCCCTGCGTCCCCAGTTCCCGGCGCTGGGGCAGCGGGGTGTTCGCGTAGGCCCGGCCTGACCCCCGCGGCCCGCACGTGGGGAGGGGGCGCCTAGGGAGGACGCGGCCCGATGTAGGGGCGGAGCCAAGGAGCCGGGCGCGCGGCCGGTGCGGCGGGCGGACGGAGGTCAGCAGCCACCAGAGAGGGACCCAGGCGTCCCGGAGGCGGTGCCAGGTGCCGCGCCCCCGCCTCGCGCCCGCCGCCGGCCCCCGCCTCCGGGCCGCCCCCCGCCCGTGACGCGCTCCCCGCCCCATCCTCGCCGGGAGCCCGAGCCGGAGCCGGAGGACGGCTAGGGGCGCGGGCGGAGGAAAAGGCGGCGGAGGAGGGAGGAGGATGCGGCCGGCGCCGCGGGGCTGCCGCCGTCGCCTCTGAGCCGCGCAGAGCGCACGGAGCGCAGCAGCGTCGCTGCGGCCCCGGCCGCGCCATGGGGAAGGAGCAGGAGCTGGTGCAGGCTGTGAAGGCGGAGGACGTGGGGACCGCGCAGCGGCTGCTGCAGAGGCCGCGGCCGGGGAAAGCCAGTGAGTGTAGGGGGCGCGGGGTTGGGGGGGCGGGGCGGAGGGAGCCGCGGCGCGCGGGGGCCACCTCCGGCGCGGAGCCCCTCACCCCTCCTGGCGCAGGAGGGGGATGCTGTCGGTCCCCGGGGGCGGGGCGGGGCCGGGCCAGCAGCGCCCAGAACCTCGGTCCACACCCGCACCCCCAGCCCTGGCGGAGGGGCGGCACCGAGCCCCCCCAGCGGGCGCCTGGCGATACCCACCTGCCCGGTCTGGGCATTCGCATCCCTCCTTTCCTCCCTCCCTGCCTCGGTCCTTTTCTCTCCCCGGGTTGTGGGGCTGGCAGCTGGAGGTCTCCACTGGGCCTTTAAAGGGCAAGGCGGATGCCCTCCCCTAGGAGGGAGGGCGGGGCCCCTTGCGGTGAGGGGCATCAGGGCGCCTGGGAGTCCCTGTCAGACCCCATTCCCGCCCCATGTTTAATAGCACGCTTTTCGGGGAAGGGGGGGCAGGGCCATGCTGGGGGTGTGGCTGCCCAGGCATGGCTGGGTGGGGGCCATTTACTGATAGCGGAGCAGAGGCCCAAGGTCGCCCAGCCCAGGCCGGGCTGAGCTCCAAGCAGGTGCAGACCCTGCAACAGATCCCAGTTCACCCTGGCTTCCCTGCTGGGAAAGAGGGCTGTGGGAGAGGGAGAGGTCTCCCACCGGCCACCCTGAGCTTGTGCCGGGGGCACCCCAGGGAAGGGTTGGGAGCTTGAAGCCCTGATCCCAGCACTTATCCCAGCTCAACCAGGAGCCTCCCCGGGGGCTGCTGGAGATGGATGGATGGGCGTGTGGACCACATGTGCGGCTGCGCACGTATGGCTGTGTCAGTGTACCAGGGCACCTGTAGGGGCGCGGGCAGGGCTCTGCGGGATGGCACGTGGAGTCTGGGGACCCCACTCCCTACACCACCCCCAGGAACTGTGTGTACGCCAGGGAGGCCCCCTTCCCCTCTCTCCAGGAAGGATGCCGAGAACTGAGACTGACTCGGAAGGTGGGAGGCATGTCCTTGAGCCCCAGAGGGACCCTCCTGCGGCAGAGCCTGCTCGCCAGCTCCCGCCTGCCCTGTGCAATTAGAGAGCTGCACAGCTGTGCCTCGCAGGCACACATACCCAGGCTGGCCTTGCCCTCCACGCCTCGCTGGGGCTGGCTTCAGGGTCTCAGGATTTCGAGGAGACTGAGCCTCGAAAGCAGGTGGAGGGATTGAGAAGTGGAAGGCAAGGTCAAGACTTCCACCTAGTGGTCGTGCCACCTTGTACATAAACAACTCCAGCTCCCCAAGCCGCGTCTGCAGGACGGATATTCATATTCGTGGTGCCTGTCTCCTGGCGTTGTCGTAGGAATAGTGAGGGAGCGAACATGAGGCTCAGGCTCTTACTGAGTGCTCAGTAAGCACTGACTGGGACCGTTTCCTCAGCCCAGGGTGGGCAGGCCAGGGAAGTGGGAGCGTCAGATTTGGAGGTTCCTCCTCCCGTCTACTCTGGCCCCTTGTGGGGAGGTGTGGGGACTTTTACCTTTACCTGGCTCTCACCTGGGTCTCTACCTACGCCCCTGCCTGGACTGGTCCCTGGGCTCTGACTCACAGGAGCGGGCTTAATAAGTCAGACGGAGAAATCCCTCCATGAATTAGCTCAGTCGTCATGACAACGCTGGCCTGCTTTGGAGTAAGATGTATTTTGATTCAGCAAAGTACAGCTGGAGTTTGGGCCACGGGGTGGGGGGCACCCAGCAGTGCTCCGTAGGGCCCACTAGACTCCAGAGGTATTTTCATAACCTTGTTCCCATGATCTCCTTCCTGTGCTGGCACCTTGCCTTGGCCCCAGCCCCCCAGTGTGGCCCCAGGCTCGGTCAGCACCCCCATCCCACCTTGAAGGGCGCCTCCCTTTACACACACAGGAACTAGCACCCTTAGCACTTGTCTTTGAGGGGAAGAAGGGAAAATACTGGGTGGGAGCTGGCCTTGTGCTAGGTGGGGGATACCCTGCCCTTCCTTCTGGCCCAACTTGCCCTTTCTGAGTTTCCTGAACATTACAGGCCAGGCTCCTGTGTTCTCACCTTGGCCCACTAATCGTTCTGCTCCAGCATCTGACCTAGAGTCCCCTGCCTGGGGGCCGTTGGAAAGGGGGCTGGACTGGAACTAAGAAAAGTGGTAGGTGGCAAGCACTGACCCTGCTTCCCTGGAGAAGTTGGGAGGGTACCTTGACCCAGGGAGGCCATAGGGCTCAGCTACTCTGAGATGGGACCAGAGGAGACCAGGACCACATCCCTGTAGGGCAGTGGTTCTCAACCTTCCTAATGCCGCGACCCTTTGATACAGTTCCTCATGTTGTGGTGACCCCCAATTTCATTGTTACAAATGGAACATAATTAAAGCATAGTGACTAATCACAAAACAATATGTAATTATATATGTGTTTTCCGATGGTCTTAGGCGACCCCCGTGAAAGGGTCATTCGACCCCCAAAGGGGTCGCGACCCACAGGTGGAGAACCGCTCCTGTAGGGGAAGAAGTAGCTCTGTGGGGCGGCCTATAAGAGGCCTCTGTAGTTGGAGGAGCGTCTGGGCAGAGGGGTACAGGGAGGCCATGGGGGTGGAGAGGGGCGGGGCCTCTGCAGCCTTGAGTTTGGAGCTGACCTCAAAGGTAGAGATGGTTCCAAGAGAGTAGTTAGAGGTCAGAGGTGATCAGAGACTGAAGTCATGTGATGGGGTGGGGGGCGAAGTTTATGCGCTGTTACTGATGTGAAATCCATAGGCTCAGTGCCCTTGTGGAAAGGGAAAGGGGGCGCCTAAGACTTTCAACTTGGTCCCCACTTGCCCCCTTATCCCACCCTTACCCAGCCCCCCCCACCCCCCACCCCAAGCCGTGCTCTGCTCCAGCTTCATTCAGAGCACCTGTCTCCACCTGGTTCAGCCTCCCCAGTTCTATGCAGGGTTCAGTTCTGGGACCTTCCTCCGTGCTCAGTGTCCCCCATAGGAATCAGGTGACTATTCCAAAACCTCAAGCTCCCCTCCATCCAATTCCAGCTGTTTTCCTCTTTGAGGAGACCAGTGGCAGGGAGAAGGTTGCGACGACCTTACCATGATGCCCCTCCTCATGGGAGGAGTGATCCCCTTTGGGATGGAGACTCCTCCTCCACTGGCGACTGAGTCACTTCCTGGGCCTTGACCTCCAGCCCCTCTGAAATTTCAACAAGTATGGGCCAGATGAGCAGGCGGGTTCCGCTTGGAGCACCGGGCTCAGCGGCTGCCTGGAAGGCATCTGCTGTGGGAGGGAGGAAAGGGGGCCAGACTGGGAAGTCTTGCTGGAGAAGCTGAGAACTGGCTACTAAGAACTGAAACTAAGAAAAGTGGTAGGTGGCAAACATTCGGATTGGGCAAGGTGTGTGTGGAGATTGGGGGGGCGGGGTTTGACAATGTCCTGAGTGTGATCCTGGACACCGTGGGAGGTGCTACAGGACAGCCATGTCTCTCTCTCTCTCTCTCTCTCTCTCTCTCTCTCTCTCTCTCTCTCAATTCTCACCTGAGGATATTTTTTCCATTGATTTTAAAGAGAGCAGAAGGGAGGGAAGGAGGGAGGGAGGGAGAGGGAGAGAGAGAGAGAGAGGGAGGGAGAGAGGGAAAGAGAAACATCGATGTGAGACACATCGATTGGTTGCCTTTGGCACGTACCCGGCCCACTCTAGCCACTGAGCACACTGGCCAGGGCATCACTGTCTTCAACGTAAGAAGGAACTGCAGCATAGGGCCCAATGCAACATGGGTGCCTTGTCCAAAATTCAGAATTTAAAATAGCAGTGTGAATGAACAGCTGCAGATATGTGTTCTATAATAGGCCAGAAATAAGGGAGATTTCAAAGTTAAGGAATAAAACATCTCTTCACTTGTAGTGTATCTCTTTATTTTTTTTATTTTTAAATACATTTTATTGATTTTTTACAGAGAGGAAGAGAGAGGGATAGAGAGTTAGAAACATCGATGAGAGACAAACATTGATCAGCTGCCTCCTGCACACCCCCTACTGGGGATGTGCCTGCAACCAAGGTACATGCCCTTGACCGGAATCGAACCTGGGACCTTTCAGTCCACAGGCCGACGCTCTATCCACTGAGCCAAACCGGTTAGGGCTGTATTGTATCACTTTAGTCAGAGTTATCCTAATATACAGTGGGGCCTTGACTTATGAGTTTAATTCGTTCTGAGACCGAGCTCGTTAAGGAGCTCGTTAACTCAAATTACTCTATCAATTCAATGCAAAAAATCAGCCGAGAGACAGCTGTTATCTCAAAAAACTCATTAGTCGGGACACTCGTAAGTCAAGGCCCCACTGCACTCTCACATTGCAGCTTCTAAAAAAATTGTTCAAAGAGCTACAGACAGCACTCTGTAAACAGATAAAAGTATTGAGCATAATGTAGGCTTAGAAATCCCATATTTATTAGGAAAAGGTTAGTACGTTTTTCAGAGATTTCCCTTTGAGTCAATAAGATTTTTCTATGGGAACAGCAACAACAACAAAAGAATTTAAGATGACGACAAGCAGCATCCAACCAGATGGGGGGCCCTTCGGCGTGACTGTGCAGGTCGCGTGCCTGACACTGGCCCTGGCAGGTGGACAGAGTGTGGGACTAGGATATGACCTCAGTCTCTGATTTACTGAGCACCTTGTGTGTACCCGGCGCTGTTTCGGCCACCAGGGATACAGCAGTGAGCAAATGGAACGTGGTCCTCTTGGAGCCAGCAGTTCAGTGACGGAGATGGACAAGAACCAGGTCAATGGTGGTGATGGGGGCTAAGGAGACATCTACAGCAGACCTGGGGCGGGAGGGGGGTTACTGTTTTAGATGGGGAGACCAAGCAGGTGACATGTGGATAAAGACCTAACGGACATGAGAGAAGCAACCCTAGGAATAACTGGCGGAAGAAGAGCCTCACACATGTATGTAACATGTGCAGGGTCAGTGGCGGGGTGGCCAGTGTGTTGGAGCGCCATTATGTGCTGAGGAAGCCCAAGGGCCGCATCATGCAGAGCCACCGTCCGGCGAGACGGGTGCTGCTGGGGGGTCTTCCCGAGAGGAGCAAAGGCATCGGGTCGGACCGTGTTCTGGCAGGGCTCCCGCGGGGATGGAGGGTGGGCTGAAGGGGGCCACGGGGAGTGAGGGCGCCCGTGGAGAGGTGATGGCAGTGATTCCTCTGGAGATGCTGGCCCGGCCCAGGGTGGCGAGAAGGGGTAGATCCTGAGTGTGCTCGGGGAGTGCCTTAAAGACAGAGCCAGCGGGACTCACCGGTGGAGGAGATTTAGGTGGTCAAGGAGGGACTCCGGGTTTGGCCTGGACCACTGAGGAAGGGTGGCATTGCTGCGGAGACAGATGGGTTTCAGCACCAGCAGTGTCTGAGCAGAGGGCCGGGGCAGGGAGGGGTGAGGCCTCTCTTCCTGGAGCCTCTGCTCTGGGCAGGAGAAGCCCCCCATCACTGGAGGGTGTGGGTGGGGTTCCCATAGAGCTAATATTAGTCATCGCCACTTACTGAGCCGACTCCTTGCCAAACGCTTCATGCTTTCTGTCTGGAAACGTCCTTAGGTCTCCGAGGCCAGCCTTGTTAGCCCCCCTCGAGCTCATTGCCGAGGCCATAGGGGGAGTCTGAGGGGCAGAGTAAGAGTTTGGATCTGGGTCTGTCTGACTCTGTGCGCTTTGTGGGCCATTTGGGGGACCTACACCCTGCACTGAGCTGCCCTGCAGCAACCCCTCTGTGCCTCAACTCCCTTGGTTCCCTGTCCTTGGGCCCCCCTGCCCCCATCCCTGTCCTGGGCCTGGACAAAGGGGCTTCTGTCCTGCCAGCCCCTCCCTCCCTCACAGAGCAACTGACCCACAAATAGGTTATGTAACCACGGCCTCGACAGGCAGGGGCTTGGCCTGAGTCTGGCTGGACCTGAGCCCACGGGGAGGGTGTCGGAGGGCCCCCCTCCTTTTGGCAGGCAGCTTCTGGGGGCCCCAGGAGGAGACTAGAGCCCTGAAGGGAGGACTTGGGCCCCTCGGGCTTCCGGTGGTGAGCCCTAGGACCTGATGTGCCCCGGAGCCTGTATATGAGGTGGCCGCGCTCATGTGGTCACTCGGAGGCACTGGCCCAATCGCCTCCCTTCCCTTCCTGCCCTGCTGAGTGGCCAGCCCCAAGGCTGGGTGTGGGGGAGGCTGCGTTGTGGGAAGGCAGATCTTCCCTCAGAGACACCCTCATTTCTGGTGTCCCAGCCTTCCCGGGCCACCCCCAGCCCATCTGGGTCCTTCTGAAAGACAGATTGGGCCGGCTCCCTCCCTCCCACTGTCGGCCGGGGATGCGTGTGCACATGTGTGTGCCTGTGTGGGTGCACCATCCTGGCTTCTGTCCGCAGGCAGGGCCAGGCCTGAGACCTTGGACCTGTGAACCTCCCAACGTCTTAGTTTAGTGGGAAACCAAGGTCTAAAAAGCTGGAGCTGAGTGCAGGGAACAGAGTTGAGTGAGTGAATGAATGTTTTTCAGACTAAACACTTAGATAGCTTTGGCTCTGAGCCTGCCAGGGAGCCAGCTAGCACCCTCTGCCTGCTTTTAAGCGGCGGGAGTGGGCTAGGCCCCAGGCTGACTGCAGGAGGGGCTGGGCAGAGCCTCCCTCACTTGTGTCTCCTTCCCACTCCCAGAGCTCCTGGGCTCCACCAAGAAGATCAATGTCAACTTTCAGGACCCGGATGGGTGAGTTCTCAGGCAGGGCAATGCCAGATGGGATGGGGGCAAAAGGGCTTCTGGGGGAGGCTGGGTGCCTGAGTCCCTGCCCATATGTGTTTGTCACCTGTCCCAGCTTCTCTGCCCTGCACCACGCGGCCCTGAATGGCAACACGGAATTGATCACCCTGCTGCTGGAGGCCCAAGCTGCCGTAGACATCAAGGACAACAAAGGCAAGGCCTGGCAGGGACCTTAGAGCAAGGGGATGGGTTGAGGTCAGGGGTCCCTTGAGGACTGGATGGTTCTTCAATTGAGGTCTCCACCCAGGGTCTCAGGCTGGGTCTAGGCAGGTCCTCGTGGGCTCTGCATCCTAGAGGTCAGGGGTGGGCCCCGGGTGAGAGACCAGCTCCCAGTGGCTCCTGCCTGCCCCCAGGCATGCGGCCACTGCACTATGCGGCCTGGCAGGGCCGGAAGGAGCCCATGAAGCTGGTGCTAAAGGCAGGCTCAGCGGTGAACATCCCATCAGATGAGGGCCACATCCCCCTCCACCTAGCGGCCCAGCACGGTCACTATGATGTGGTGAGGACCACCTCGGGGGTGCGCGTGTGGGAGGCGTGAGCCTGGCGGCACGGGGCTGACTGTGCTCCGCACCCGCAGTCCGAGATGCTGCTGCAGCACCAATCGAACCCGTGCATGGTGGACAGCGCCGGGAAGACGCCTCTGGACCTGGCCTGTGAGTTCGGCCGTGTTGGGGTAAGTCTCCCAGGAGCTGAGAGCCACTCCATCTGCTCTGCTGCCTCTTCTGGGGTTGGAGTCGGGGACAGACCTGCAACCCCCCTGGCCTGTTTCTGGGTGCCCCCTACTCTGACCCCTCCTTCAAGGTGGTCCAGCTGCTCCTGAGCAGCAACATGTGCACAGCCTTGCTGGAGCCCCGGCCGGGGGACACCACCGACCCCAATGGAACCAGCCCCTTGCACCTGGCAGCCAAGAACGGCCACATTGACATCATCAGGTACGGTTCTGTGGGGGTGGGGTTCCCAGCTCTAGGGCTCTGCTCCTGGCTTGGTGATAAGATGGGAGCAGTCTCGGAGCTGTGGCATCTCCAGCTGCCCACACGAGGAATGTGCTAGAAGGGGGTGGGGAGTGGGCATGGATAGCCGCATGGCCTGGGCTCTGCTGCAGTCCGGTCACTCGCTGGGTGGCTTCGCGGATACACTTAACCTCTCTGAGCCTCAGCTCTTCCATGGGCCTCACAGCAGTGCCAGTGGGAAAAGACGAGGTAGCTGCTGTGAAGGGTTAACACAGGGCGGGCACTTCCGCAGTGCTTCGTCACTGTCAGGTATGTTGTCAGGGAGATGGGTAGGGCTGGTCAATCCTTAGGCCCTTGGAAATCGGGGCTCAGCTTTGGGGTGCTGGGGCCGAGGGCTCCTGCTGTAGGCCCCGCCCGCTCCCCCTGCCTTCCCACCAGACTCCTGCTCCAAGCTGGCATTGACATTAACCGCCAGACCAAGTCCGGCACCGCCCTGCACGAGGCTGCGCTCTGTGGGAAGACAGAAGTGGTTCGGCTGCTGCTGGACGTGAGTTGGAGGCGCAGGGGGAGCTGGGTCCAAGGCAGGGTTGGGAGAACGGGGTGCTCTTGACAGACCTCCCCTCCGGGCCCCTGCAGAACGGGATCAATGCCCACGTGAGGAACACGTACAGCCAGACGGCCCTGGACATCGTGCACCAGTTCACCACGTCACAGGCCAGCAAGGAGATCAAGCAGCTGCTGCGAGGTGGGCCCAGGTGGGGCAGGGGGTCTGGGGCGGGGCCTGGGCCAGGCTGGTTCGAAGGACTGGGGAGTCTACCTCCTGTGTCCCCAGAGGCCTCGGCGGCTCTGCAGGTCCGGGCGACCCAAGATTATTGCAACAACTATGACCTGACCAGCCTCAACGTGAAAGCCGGGGATATCATCACAGTAAGGACGGCCTGGGGCTGTGGAGCTGGGATGCTCACCCCACATTTCCCCCTCAGCGACTGGGGAGTCAGTTGACCCAGAAGTCTCCCTGCATGTGCTCTCCCCACCTCATCTGGCCAGGTCCTTGAGCAGCATCCAGATGGCCGATGGAAGGGATGTATCCATGACAACCGGACAGGCAATGACCGGGTGGGCTACTTCCCATCCTCCCTGGGCGAGGCCATCGTCAAGCGAGCAGGCAAGTCCTACCCAGGTCTGGGCTTGGGGGACAGAAGGAAGGAAGTGCACATGTGTGTTGGATGGCAGGGCAAGGACCGAGCTCTAGCCATGGCTAGGTGTAGGGTCCAAAGTGGTGTTCAGAAGTGTGTCCTGCCAGCTGTCTCCTCAGTGTCCTCGTGCCCATTCCTTCATTTATTCAACCGACATTGCACACTGACCACTAGGAATAGATGGCGACTCAGATGGATATCGGTCCTGCTTTCAAGGAGCTTGCCCCCGGGGAGGGCGGGGAGCAGGGGACAGTGGAGTAACCACAGAATGAAACACACCAGCCAATGGCAGAGAATGTGGATGGAGACCTGCTTTAGATGGGGTGGTCAGAGGAGGCCCTGAGAAATGGGAGGGACTGGCTACAGGCAGAGCAATCCAGGCAGTGGGAACCACGTGTGCAAAGGCACTGAGGCAGGAAAGAGCGTGATGTGTGTAAGGGTCCATAGGAGGCCAGCATGGCTGGCGCAGAGTTAGGGAGAGGGAGGGGGGTGAGGACATGGCCACGGGGCCACCGAGTGGTTTCAGGCAGGGGACTGGTGAGATCACAGAGGTGGACAGGTGGGATAAAAGAGAGAGTGGCCCAGTTAGGCGATGCGGCTCGTCTACCCATCTAACTGGACCACTAGTTCTCCTGGGGTGGAGAGCCTCGCCCCAGGCTCCTGGAGGCCTCTTTCCTCCCCGCTGTTGCCCTGGCACAGAGGAGGTTTCACTCTCTGGCAATCTGCACCCCTCCCCCCAACAGGACCGCAGGGCCACTGGTAAGCTGGCCGGGTAGCCTGGCGCGGGCTCCTCTCTGCCACATGCTCCTGCTCTCCAACATCGGTGTGGGGAGGGGGTCTCCTAAGGGTCTCTCAGGGCAGGAGGAGACTGTTGTGCATGTGTTGGGCCTCTACCTAGGCTTGGGGCTGGGCCAGGGGACGCCCTCCTTTCGGTGTCTGGCTCCCAGGCCTGGGCTGGTCCAATACTCAGGGAGGCTATGGTTGGCCCACAGGTTCCCGAGCAGGTGCTGAGCAAAGCTCACCTCAGGGAGGCAGCTTGCCGGGACCCTCTGCACCCCCTGAGGAGATCTGGGTGCTGAGGAAGCCTTTTGCAGGTAGGTGGGGGCCTCTGGAGGGCGGGGTAGCAGTACTTCTGCAAGGCAGCTCCCAAGCGAGGCGGGGCCAGCGCTGGCTGATGCTCCCTTGTGCCGGCAGGTGGAGACCGCAGTGGCAGCTTGAGCAGTGTGGCTGTCGGCCGGAGCAGCGGAGCCCATACCCTGCACGCAGGCTCTGAAGGAGTCAAGGTAGGTGGGGTGGTGCCGGGGCCGGGGCGGCTGGGCCCAGAGCAGCACTGGCCAGCTGACCTGTCTGGGTTGCAGCTCCTGGCAACCGTGCTCTCCCAGAAGTCCATCTCCGAGTCTAGCCCCGGGGACAGCCCCGTCAAGCCTCTGGAGGGCTCAGCAGGTAAGAGCAAGGACGCAGCACTGCTGTCCTGGCTGACAGGTAGCCTTTGAGCAGCCCTTGGCCTACCGTGCCCTCTCTTCCCCAGGGGCGGCCAGGTCCCAGCCTCCAGTGGCCCATGCTGGGCAGGTCTATGCGGAACTGCCGTCCAAGAAGCTGGAGCCGGCATCGGAGGGCAAGGTACAGGGCCTGGGCTGGCAGCAGGGAGGGGTGCCCGGGGCAGCCTGCCTGGCCTGGCCACAGTACAGCCGGGGGCTCTTGACAGGCTAGCCCCCTCCTTCTGTCTGTGTCAGTCTGTGTGTGTAGGTGTTGTCTATTGTGTGGGCTGTGCGTGTGAATTAGTATGTGTAAGAAGCGTGCACGGGTGTGAGGTGAACGAGGGTGTGCATGTGTGTGTGGTGTGACTGTGAGGCGGGCACGTGTGCATGTGTGCGTGTGTATGAAATGGCACAAGTGAGACAAGACGAGTTGTGTACATGGGTGAGGTGGGTCCTGTGTGCATGACTTGCGTGCTGGGGAAGGTGTGAGCTGCCGGCTGAGTCCTGCAAACTTCTGGGCAAAGCTCACCTTCCAGGGACTGAGGAGCAGTGCTGAGGCCCCATCCTAGAGCCTCACCTGGGGCCACACTGCAGGGTGTCCCTGGTGCAGGAATGGGGGGGATGGTCAGACGCAGCTGAACCTTCCCGGTGGAGAACAGAGCGATGCTGCAGTGCCGTGCGGAGCTCGAGACAGCGGCAGCCAGGACCACAGAGTGAGGCGGGAGCACCGGTGCCAGACTGACTGGGGCCTAGCTGCACGTGGACCCGTGGACGGCAGACTGAGCTGACACAGAGGAGGCACCGTGGCGGCTGGGGTGTGCGCCCGGCGGGCGGGCGGGCGGGCGGGCCTGCAGCGGTGCCTTGTGTCTTCCAGAGCGCTGAGGCTGTGAGCCAGTGGCTCGCCACGTTCCAGCTGCAGCTGTACGCCCCCAACTTCCTCAGTGCTGGCTACGACCTGCCCACCATCAGCCGCATGACCCCTGAGGTGAGCTGCCCAAAGGCTGGCCACCAGCCATGACCCGGAAACAGATCCCCTGCCTCCAGCTAACGGGCTGCTCCTCTAACTAGGACCTCACGGCCATTGGGGTCACCAAACCAGGCCACCGGAAGAAGATCACGGCAGAAATCAGCAGCCTCAGCATCCCCGACTGGCTGCCTGAGCACAAACCCGTAAGGCTCCCTGCACCCTGTGGCTGGGCCCAGGATGGGCAGATAGACAGACAGACTGCCTCCCTGGCTACAGCCCTCAGCTGCCCTCTGGAGCTCCAGAGAGTGGAGACCAGAGGACGGTCCCTCAGCGTGGCCCACCTGGACGACGTTTGTCCATCACAGGCACTGGGACCAGCCTTCCTGAGGCAGGAACAGGGGTGACAACCTGTGAGGGCCGTCAGGGTGAAGGGAGAATACCTCTCTCCATTCCATGCTCCTGCAGAGACCCCCCTCCATACTCAGGCAATCACACAGGGACACCGGCACCCCAGCAACGCTGCCCCTTGCACACCTACCCAGACACCAGAGAGGGGGCCTGCATTGATGGGATATGCTTGCACACACCAGGCATGTGCGTGGGGACGATGTGTGAGTGTGCATGCTCCATGTACACAGACAGCACACGCACACTAAATATATTCAAGGTGCCCATTGATGACTGCACGCACACACCCACACATTTAACTGCACGTGCCAGCTGTGTTGACAGCTGACACCCACTCTGACCGGAGGCCGTGCTGTTCACTGACAGGCACTCATATGGTAGAACCGGTTCTGGGCCAGGAGAAGGTAGGCTCAGGGCCTGTTGCCTCAGTGCTGCCTCTCTGGTTCTCACGCAGAGCTGTGATTCCCCATCCACTGATGGGGGCGATGCCATGACCACCAAAAGCCCCCAGGGCTGTGGGTCAGGGACAGGTAGGTTGACACTCATCTGCGTTGCTGCACTCAGTCAGTGGCTCCGCGGTCCTTCGGGTGAGCACGTCGGGGTCCCAGGGTCTCACTCGGCTCTTCCAGATAGGCTGTGCGTTGGTGCGTTAGCGATGCCCTGCTGGGCGTGTGGACAGGTGGATGCCACTCAGGAAGTCACTGAGTGGTACTGGGTGAAGACTCTGATGGCTGTTTGCACACATGTGTGATGTGGCCGTGTGACTGTGCCTGATGCGGGTGGGAAGTTGTGAGAGGGTGTGAGCATGACACAGAGGGAAGTCAGTGCCCGTGTGTGGCTGTGATCCAGGGTATGCGTGTACACGTATCTGGTTGGTGGTACTGTGTATCTGCGTCCATGATGTATGGTGTGTGTCCACTGGGTGCTGTTCCCATGGTTGCCTGGACAGGTGAGGAGGAAGTGCAGTCTTTCCCAAACGGTGTCCTGAAGATAGGGTTGCCCTGTGTGTGCGTGTTTGTGTGTGTTTGCACGTGCACGTGAGCTGGACTTGGGCTCCTGCTGAGGCTGAGCTGTCTCTAGGACTGACACTTCTGTTGGTTTGTCCTCTGTTTGTCTGTACCGGGCTGGCCCGATGCCCCTGCCCCAGCAGCTCCCAGTAGTCTACGGGCTGTGGGTAGCCAGCTCTGGCTGCCCTCTGTGTCCCCTGCTCTGTATACAGGCTAACCTGGCTGTGTGGCTGTCCATGATCGGCCTGGCCCAGTACTACAAGGTGCTGGTGGACAATGGCTATGAGAACATCGACTTTATCACCGACATCACCTGGGAGGACCTGCAGGAGATTGGGATCACCAAGCTGGGTGAGGCTCCAGCCCCCACCACTTCCTGGTCCTTGCCACTCTCCCTGGCCTGACCTGCCCCATACCCCACTCAGGACACCAGAAGAAGCTGATGCTGGCAGTGAGGAAACTGGCAGAGCTGCAGAAGGCCGAGTACGCTAAGTATGAAGGGGGACCTCTGCGCCAGAAGGCGCCGCAGTCTCTTGAAGTGATGGCCATTGAGTCGCCGCCCCCTCCTGAGCCTGCCCCAGCTGAGTGCCAGTCTCCAAAGATGACCACCTTCCAGGACAGCGAGCTCAGTGGTGAGCTGCAGGCTGCCATGACTGGCCCGGCAGAGGGGGCTGCCACCCCCGCCGCTGCCGAGAAGCCCTCCAATCACCTGCCACCCACCTCAAGGGCCTCTGTGCATCAGGAGCCCAGTCTGGGTGGGCGGGCACGGCATATGAGCAGCTCTCAGGAGCTGCTGGGTGATGGGTTCCCGGGGCCTGGCAGCCCTATGTCACGAAGCCAGGAGTACCTCCTGGATGAGGGACCAGCCCCTGGTACTCTGCCCAAGGAGGCTCGGCCCGGCCGCCACGGCCACAGCATCAAGCGGGCCAGTGTGCCTCCGGTGCCCGGCAAGCCACGGCAGGTCCTTCCACCAGGCCCCAGCCCCTTCACGCCCCCCCAGACTCCCACGAAAGCTCGGCCAGGTTCCCCCCAGGCCCTGGGGGTGCCTCATGGTCCAGCCCCAGCCACAGCCAAGGTGAAGCCCACCCCACAGCTGCTGCCACCTATGGAGCGACCCATGTCGCCCCGCTCCCTGCCTCAGTCACCCACACACCGGGGCTTTGCCTATGTGCTGCCCCAGCCCGTGGAGGGCGAGGCAGGGCCAGCTGCTCCTGGGCCTGCCCCCGCCCCCGCCCCCGCCCCCGCCCCTGCCCCTGTGCCCGTGCTGTGTCTGCCCCCCGAGGCCGATATGGAGCCAGGGCGGCCTAAGAAGCGCGCCCACAGCCTGAATCGCTATACAGCGTCTGACAGCGAGCAAGAGCGGGATGAGCTGCTGGTGCCGGCGGCTGCCGGGCCCTATGCCACAGTCCAGCGGCGTGTAGGTCGCAGCCACTCAGTGCGGGCACCTGCTGGTGCCGACAAGAACGTCAATCGCAGCCAGTCCTTTGCTGTGCGGCCCCGGAAAAAGGGGCCCCCCCCACCTCCGCCTAAGCGCTCCAGCTCAGCCATGGTCAGCGCCAACCTGGCTGATGAGTCAGCACCTGATGCTGAGACCAAAGGAGCTGGGACTGAGGAGGGCCAGCTGGGGGTCCGGGCACAACGCCGGCGGGCTAGTGACCTGGCTGGCAGCGTGGACACGGGCAGTGCTGGCAGTGTGAAGAGCATCGCAGCCATGCTCGAGCTGTCATCCATTGGGGGTGGGGGCCGGGCAGCCCGCAGGCCCCCTGAGGGCCACCCCACGCCTCGCCCTGACAGCCCGGAGCCAGGCAGGGTGGCAACAGTGCTGGCCTCCGTGAAGCACAAGGAGGCCATCGGGCCTGATGGAGAGGTGGTGAACCGGCGCCGCACGCTCAGCGGGCCTGTCACAGGACTTCTGGCCACTGCCCGCCGAGGGCCTGGGGAACCGGCAGGGCCTGCAGATCGTGGCCACCTTGTAGAGGATGGCACTGCCCGGCAGAGGCCTCGAGGTCCAGCCAAGGGAGAGGCAGGTGGGGAGGGTCCTCCCTTGGCCCGGGTGGAGGCCAGCGCCACGCTGAAGAGGCGCATCCGAGCCAAGCAGAGCCAGCAGGAGAACGTCAAGTTCATCTTGACTGAGTCCGACACGGTCAAGCGGCGGCCCAAGGCCAAGGAACGGGAGGCAGGTCCGGAGCCACCGCCCTCACTGTCCGTGTACCAGAACGGCACAGGCACTGTGCGCCGTAGACGGGGCTCTGAGCACGCTGGACCCCTGGAGCTGCCCCCGCCACCCGCACCCACCGAGCCCCTGCCCTCTGACCTGATGCACTTGCCCCCGCTGCCCCCACCAGACAGTGATGCCCGGAAGCCAGCCAAGCCGCCTGTCTCTCCCAAGCCTGTCCTGGCTCAGCCGGTACCCAAGATCCAGGGGTCACCCACACCCGCCTCCAAGAAGGTGCCGCTGCCAGGTCCCAGCAGCCCAGGTAGGTGAGGGAGCCAGCTGGGGAAGGGCCTCCACCCTACCTCCCCACTCCGTGGTCTGAAGGTTTTTCTCTTCTTGGATTTGATGGCAGCCAGGTGGAGTAGGGTGGAGTGTCCTCAGACTGTCTCATCCATCCACCTAGAGGACAACTCTGCCAACCCAGAGCTGGGAGGAGGGTGGCTGGTCCTCCACTTGCTCCCTGAAGGAGGCACAGAAACTTATTAATAGCAGCACCAGGGGAGGGAGGACTCTGACCCAGCTGGAGAGGGATCCCAGCACGCGGGAGGGAGGGGAGAGGCGTCCAGGCAAAAGGATCCGAGGTGCAAAGGCCCTGTGGCAGTCAAACACGCCAAGCGCCACACCTAGAAGGGGATGCAGTGTGGGAGAGGGGGGCGGACCCGGAGGGATTTGGAAACAGCCATGCCACCAGGGTTTGCATGGGGAAGCACGTTCTTTGGTTGCCATGGGAGGCTGGGGTGGGAGGGGCAGTGGAGAGCTGCGGCGGCGGCGACGCTGTGCTGAGGACCACGGTATCTCCGCTCCTGGGTGGGAGGCAGCGGGCTGCGGCGGGGCTGGTGCAGGGATGGGCGGCGTGCGCACTGCGCGACCCCCCGCAGCGTGCGAGTCTCCTCCTCCCCGCAGAGGTGAAGACACATGGCACACCGCCGCCCGTGTCTCCCAAGCCGCCGCCGCCGCCCACGGCGCCCAAGCCGGTCAAGGCCGCGGCGGGGCTGCAGTCAGGCAGCGCCAACCCGTCGCCCACGCCCTCGCCGGCGCGCCAGCCGCCCGCCGCCCTCGCCAAGCCAGCCAGCACGCCGCCCTCGCTGAGCGCCAGCCCCGCCAAGCCCCCGTCTCCGAGCGCGCCCGCGCTGCACGTGCCCGCCAAGCCGCCGCGCGCCGCTGCGGTCGCGGCCGCTGCCGCCGCGGCCTCCGGGCCCCCTGCTGCACCCGAGGGCACCTCGCTGGGGGACAGCGCCCAGCAGAAGCTGGAGGAGACGAGTGCGTGCTTGGCGGCAGCGCTGCAGGCAGTAGAAGAAAAGATCCGGCAGGAGGATGCTCAGGGCCAGCGGTAGGTGGGGCGGGGTCCGGTTGGGCGTGGGCATCTGGGTGCCCCTCGGGTTAGTGAAGGTGTAGTGTGCGGGCTGGGGCGTAACCAGTGCCTTGAGGGCGTGGCCTCGGACACCTTACACAGCGGGACGGGGCCCGGCGTGGGCGGGGCTTGCACGCCACCCTGTCATTTATTCTGAGGCAGCTGTGCTCCGCTGGAATAGGGGGATGGGGGAGTCAGAGGCCACTGCTGATTTGAGTGGGAGGCCTGGTCTATGTAGGGAGGGGGCACGGCCTTTTCCGCCGACCCCACCTTGCCCCCCTCTTCTCACACTGCGCCCACCCCAGCCCCTCTGCCTCGGAGAAGAGCACGGGCAGCATCCTGGACGACATCGGCAGCATGTTTGATGACCTGGCGGACCAACTGGACGCCATGCTGGAATGATGTGGCACACGTTGGGCCCACCTATGCTGCCTGGGCTCTAGCTGCACACTGACCTTTACCTCAGGATGGGCACTTCTGGGTGCAGCGCAAGTGGGCATGGTGGGCGGCCGAGGGGGACGGGGTGCAGGGGACAGCCTGCCAGGGCCGCGAGGCGGGGGCGGGTCGTGCTGCCCTGTCCCTGCACAAGCACAACTCCTGCCCCCCTGGGCCCAGGCAAGATGCCGAGCGCGGAAGACTGCCTGGCCTAGGGGCCCAAGGGCTCTGGACAGACGCTGCTGCTCTGTGGGTGCCTGTCCCTGTCTGCTGCTCCCTGTGCAATAACTGCTGGGCTACCCGCCCACCCGCCACCGGGCTCTGCCCAGTGTGTAGAGAAGGGGCAGCCCCTGGCACACCTGCCCTGAATCCACGTTGGGCCCACCTTGGGAGGTAGTGGGAGGGGGGGCAGCCACTGTAGCCCCCTCCCCAATCAGTGGCAGAGCACAGGCCTATGCCCAGCACAGAACTGCCCACTGGGGACCTCTGCCAGCTGCTCTGGCACAGCACAAGGGGCTGGGGTCAGGACCCCTGCCCTACTCTACCCCACAGAATATAAGCTATTGAGAGTATTAATTTATTGGGAATAAGCTGAGGCAGATTTCCCTAGAGAAACAAAAAGGTATAACTTTAACGAATATATATTTAAAGAAAGAAAAAATATTATTGATTCTATAGAAAACCATTTACCAACTGCAAGGACACTGGAGTCTAGCTCGAGACAAAAGCTGTTCCAGGCTCTGGCCACTGTCTGTCCTTTCCCTCTATCCAGGAGTGGCCAGACCCCTGGGCCAGTAGCGCACACAGTAGGCTGGGGTCTGTGCTCCACCAGGGCCTCCCTCTGCGCTCTCTTAACTTCTCTGTGTCTGAAGAACTCGAAGGATGTGCCTTGCTGCTGGGCTGTGTCCTCCATGCCCTGGAGATGGCGGGGAGGGCTCCCTCCTCTCTGGGGGATGCTGCTGTGAAGGTCTGCCTGGGTTTGGGGGAAGCTATGTGCACAGCGTGAAGTGGAGGTCAGCCGGATGACAGCAGTGGGTGCAGGGCGTGCATGCCAGGCTGTGTGTGGCGCGTGTGAAGGTGTGCCTGACTCTCCCTCCCCAGGCTCCGAGCAGGCAGCCAGCCCACCCCCATCTGAATTCCCACGGATGCTTCTGCTCGTGGTCCAAGGCTGTGTCGTGTGGTTGTTCTCGCCTCTCTCTCCTCGCCCCCTCCAAAAAAGTACTGACCAGCCTCCTCTATTGTGTTTGCTGACCCACGTGTGTTGGACACAACTTTGACATTTCTTAAAAAAAAAATTAAAAATGCCAAAAACCAGCAATTGTGATGCAGGTGGGCGGAGGGGATCAGCCAAGGTGGCATCTAGGAATGTGAGGCCCCTTTCAGCTGTCATGTGGTGGCGCTTCCCCTAGTGGATTTACCTGGTCGTCCACCTGACCTCTCCTTAGCGGGTGGCCAAGGCTGGGGCTCCGGCAGGTCGGGAGGGGGGGTCTGGGCAGGGCAGTACTCTTGGCTGTCAATAAACAGCAGAAAACGGCCTGGCTCACTGGTGGTGTGTGTTGGGAGAATGGTGGTGGTAGTGGTGGTGGTGGTGCTGGGGTGGAGGGGGGGGTGAGTTGGCCTGTCCATGGCCGGGAGGGGAAGTCAACTGAGAGGGCTACATCCTGGGGTCAACAGACAATAGGAACGCTTTTTGTGACCCCTCCCAGCTTCCCTCCCACTGGCTGCTGGTGCCTGGGCACACCAGTGCTCTTGGGCAGCCTCTCCCTCATCCCAGGACCATCCCTACTCACAGCCACAGTCTGTGCAGCTTTTATTTCAATCAGAAGTAATCAAATCTATGTACAGTCTAAAAACAATAGAAAAGGTGAGTTAAAAAGTCCTGTAGTCCATCAGGAATGGGGATGGAGGGTGGACCGGGCAAGCATTATACCTGGAGTGTAGAGAGAGGGTCTGGGCACTGTCCTGGCAGCAATGATGACAGAGCCAGACAGAGGGAGACTCGCCAGGTGCAGGATCAGGACAGTGCCTGGCCAGGTGAGCCTGCCCGCCTATCCCCTAATAGGCAGGCAGAGACCCTGAGACCAGCCTGGCTTAGACAGGCCTAGGGTGGGCCCAGAAGAAGTCAAGACCTGGCCTGGATTCTGTCAGCAAGTCCAAACCTGTAGAGGAAGGGCTCTGTTTCAGGTGCCCCTCTGGCCATCCTGCCCCAATACCACCTGCCGTTTATAGCTGCCCTCCACTGTCACCTGCCCGAGGCTCCTGGCTCCTCACCCCCAATACCCTGCTCTCCAGGTGCAGTCAGCCCCTTTGGATGGCCCCAGCCAAGGCTCTGACCTTCACAGTGCTGTCCACAGCCCCTGAGAAGAGCCGGCCCCGGGACACGGCCAGAGCAGTTACACTGCCCTGGTGACGCAGCAGGGTCTGTGTGCAGATCATGTTGTCCATACTCCAGACCTGGGGGCACATAAGACATGAGGACTGCCAGGCCGGGCTACCCACCCTGAGCCTCCCACTGTCACCAGGCCAGCACGGACCCTGAGAGACCGATCATAGGATGCGCTGAAGACTTTGGTCTGGTCTGGTGTCGAGATGACTGCCAGGGCATACACGGTGCCAACGTGGCCTGTCAGGGTCCGAACCTGCTCCTTGGACTCGATGTCCCACACCTGAAGTGATGGCACAGGCAGGTCAGAGACACAGATGGGAGAGGACAGGGGCCCAGAGTCAGGCCTTGCCCCTAGGTGTCCACCCTTACGTGGATGAGGTTCTCGTAGGTGCCACAGACAATGTGGTGATTCGTCACGGCGATGGAGTACACACTGCCACCAGATGTCTGTAGGACATGGATGCAGTCGAGGGTCCGGATATCCCAGATCTATGGGCAAGTGCAGAACACTTGGTCATAGGCCAGCGTCTCTGGGGCTTCAGATGTGGGCAGCCCACCCACTACCCAGGTTGTGTGTGAGGGTCTCCCTGTTCCAGTGGGAAGGGGGCAGGGCAGTGCTGGTACAGGGAGGGGCCCTGCCACCAGGAAAGTGGCAAAGGGGTACCTTGATTGTCTGGTAGGAGCCACTGTACAGGTAGCTCTGGGCAGCCACCAGGGCCCGCACCCAGTGGTTTAGGCCTGTTAGCTCCTTCTTCAGCTTCAGCTCAGTGCCCACAATGTCCCAGACCTGTGAGAACGTTGTCAGCATGGGCTGGGTGGCCAGGCATCCGGCACCCCAATGCCTGGCGCATGCACACACACTGCCTTGCCTGACCTTGATGGCCTTCAGGGAACCACTGAAGAGCATGTTGTGAGAGGAGACCAGCGTGCACACCGGGTTGTCATGGGCCCGGATCGTGTTCACCTTCTGCAGGTTCTGGATATCCCACACCTGGTGGGTGGAAGGACAGGAGCCTCAGCACCAGCCCTGCTGCCCTGAGCCCAGACCCCAGCGTGCCTGGGACTCCCAGATACCAATACGTATCCTGGACCCCCCACGGGCCCTACTCACAATGATAGTGCAGTCTGCGGAGCCGCTGTAGAGCTTGCACCTGGGGAGGCAAAGCTAAGGTGTCAGGGCGGAAGGCACTGTCCTCACTGACATTGCCCTGCAGGCCAAGGTAGCACTGGCCACCAGGCATCAGCAGGTTGGGCACTGCCAAGGCCACTGCCGCTTCCTTGGGCCAGTCTTAGTGTTTCGGCCTCAGTGAGGGATGCTGGAAGTGGAGGCCCAAATCCTGGTGCCTGCCTGGCAAGTGCCGAGCTGGGAGGTAATTACCCAGTTAGCACTGCTGGCAGTCAAGCTGCTACTTCTTGTGATTGAGAATCCACCCGCCCTTACTCATGCCCAAATACAACACCTCATTACCCGAGACAGGAGGGAAGGTCTAGAAAGGGCCCCCCTGGGGGCATGGAGGTGGCTGAGCAGCTGTTGTGTGGTCCTTCCCCGAGCTGTGCCCATGCCAGAGCGAGCTGAGCTCCTGCCTCCACTCTGTGATGGCCCACCTCTGTCCTCTAGCTGTCTGAGGCACCCAGGGCCAGGGCTATGTTTTGTGAATGCCCATCGTCAGAGATGCAGGGCCCACATTACCACCGAGATGCCACCCTGCTCAAGGTCACAAGTGCCTCACAGGAGAGGCGGACACATGTGGGCTATACAGGCTTGAGCTCACCATCCATGGGGCAGTAGCATGGGGTCTCATGTCCCCAGCTCCATGTGGGCCTGTGGACAGTGGGTACACACATACACTCACCCCTGGATGCAGAGTGCCAGCACAATGCCATCATGGCCCTCCAGTGTCTTCTGACACTTGTAGGTAGTACACGTGTCCCACACCTGCAGAGACCAGGGTCAAGGTGGGTCCCACAAGATCAGCCAGGTGCCAGGGGTGGCATGGTGGGAATGAGGAAGCAAGCCATCCTCAGAAAGCCCTGCCTATAAGAGGAAGACCCGCCCACGGCCAGTACCCACCCTTCACCTGCCAGGCTACAGAGCCCACCCAGGCAGGATCCCACCCACCTTGATGGTCTTGTCAGAAGAGCCACTGAAGAGCAGGTCCCCCATGGAGTAGACACAGAGACACCAGACAGGGCCCTGGTGGCCCACAAAGGTTCCTTTGCACTTGAAGATCTGCTGCGGGTCATAGGCTGCGGAGACAGGAGTAGCTGTGAGAGACGTGGGGAGGCCTTGGGGACAGTGGTGGGACAGCAGGGGGCCCATACTCACATCCTAGGATGCCCATGTTCAGCCGTGCATTGATGTGGGACAATTCATCCTGCAAGGCCGAGAGTGGAGGGCATGGTGGCTGTGGCTCCACAGTACCCCTGCCCGCCAGCCTGAGGTGCAGCAGCAGCCCTCCCCACCTGACACCTAATCCTGAGCAGGGCAAGCCTCCTGTTGGGGCCCAATCAGAGGGATAGTCCTGTGTCCCCCACACCGCCCAGCCTTCCTGTCTCTGTCTCTCGCCCGCTCACGTTCAACATGGATGCGTCCCTCCGGAACTCCATGAGGTCCTCGCTCAGCTTGCTCTGGTTCTCATCCAGGACGTCTGGGCGGCAGGGCAGAGGGTGTCAGGGACCAGGAGAAGGAGCTGCACCCCCATCCCTCCTGGGCTGGGCTCTCACCGAACTTGAGCTCCAGGCTCTTCTCCAGCTGGTCAATCTTCTCCGAGAGCTTGCCCAGCATGGAGCGCAGGAAGGCGATCTCCTGGTCCTTCTGGGCCAGTGCCACGTGCATCTCGTGGAAGCGGTCATCCGTCTGCTGGAGGAACTCCTTCAGGCCCTCAAAGCGGCAGGTCTCCAGGTGCGTCTCATACGTGTCCTGGTTCCCGATGAACGTGCATCTGGAGGGACAGGATGGCTGCCTGCCCCTTTGCTCACCTGCCCGCCCATTAGGACCCTCCCCTCGGCCTCCCCAACCCTAAAAATCTCTCTTGAATCTCACTTTTGTGCCCACTGCACCCCAGATGGGCCACCATGCCCTCCACACCTGCACGCCCGCCCATCTCTCCTGCTCCCATCAGCACCCAGCAGGCCACTATGCAAGGAATATCCAGTCACTCTACTCCTGCTCAAAGCTGCTAAAGGGCTCCTCCACACCCCTCATCGGCGTGCCTCTTTCCCCTCCACCTCCCCTCTGCTCTCAGCTCTGGCCATGTGTTCAAGTCCACCCCTGCTGGGTCCAGCTGTTGGAAGCCCTGGCCCTGGTCTTTGCCCGGCTTATGCCCACACATAGGTTAGTGCTCATCTCACCCCTTCCCTGACCACCCTCCACTCCCCGAATGCTCTGACCCCTGTGTTCCCATTGGACTTTGATCTCTCCTTCGAAGCACCTGTACCTCCGTTTGTAATTACATAGTCGACGGTGTGGCTCCGCTAAGGTCCATCTCCCCAGGGACCCTGGCTGTCTCCCCAGTGCCCGGCACACAGGTGGACCTCAACAAAGGTGTGCTGAAGGAGGGACTGTGAATGCCAGCCCAGGCCCACCCACCCTCCTGCCCACCCGCCCCCGCCCGAGGACGGCCCCCTTGAGCCCACCCCCGCCCACTCACCCGTACTTGGAGTGGGGACACTTGATGTGCTCGCACTCCTTGAGGTGGGCCTCCAGGTTCATCTTGAGAAGGGGCGGGCAGTTGGGGTTGTTGGGGCACCGCACAGGCCTGTAGTCACAGCTGCTCTCGTGGTCCCTGTGGGAGACAAGACACAGAACAGCTGAGTCCCCAGAGGCACCATTTTTAGCACCCTGACCGGTGGGGAGCTGGGGGCCAATGGAGGCACTTACTTCCGGGCACTGAGCTTAATGGTGAAGGGGCACCCTCGGGGGTCCACCTCAAAGACAGTGGGCTTCCCGACCCCCACTGCCCGACAGCCATGCTTGCAGTGGATGGAGAGCTCCCCGATCTGCTCGGCCACGGCAATATTGTTCACCACCACCGTCAGCTTGGCGTTGTCCACAGGACACTTCTCTGGAGGGGAGGAAATGCTGACCCCATGGCCCGCCCAGCCAGCCTCTCCCCTGGAAGCTCTGCCCAGGGCACTGTGGCCAGGCTTTGCAGGGGCGAGTGGCTTGGAACCTGCTCCCCCTGCTGGCGGGTTGAGCCTGTTGGGGGCTTGATCTACCCATCTACCTGCCCTTCTGAGGTGCCCAGAACAGGAAGGGGGTCACCAAAAATGCCCACTGGGTGAGTGAAGGCCTCTCAGCTGACCCGAGAGGGTGAGACAGGGCCAAGAGGACTGGAGGCAGAGCAGGAGGGAACCCAGCCCTGGGCCCAGCAGGGATGCCCGGATGCTACTAAAGTTGGAGACTGCGAGGCAGCAGCCTTGACAGTGAGGGCGGCCTCCACCAGGGAGAGCGGGTGCAGAGCCCTTACTGCTCTGCTGGTCAATGCCTTGAGCCTGGCCCGAGTGCAGCCAGGGGCCGCCGCCACCCACAGCAGAGACGCTTTGTGCAGGCCTAGGGAGAAGCTGCCATGCAACCAGGGGCACCGTCAGTGCTAGAGCTGGGCTGGGACCTCCCTCGAGGGGCCCTCCCCCAGCTGGGGAACAAGGTGGCCAGGCCTGGGCCTGAAAGGGCCCTACCTGACTTCAAGGCACATCTTCGACAGAATGTATGCTGTGGAAACAATGGGTAGAGTTGGGGCATGGCCGTAGTCACCCCTACCCCGTGCCCCTGCAGAGGGCACCTGCTGGGCAGCCAGACCAGGCCTGTGACCAAGGCCCAGGTTCCAATGGATGGGCTGGCAGCCCATGGAGCCCCAAGGTGCATAGGTCAGGGAGGGGACAGGCAGCCTCACCCCACAGGTGGTGATCACGGGGTCCTTGAACACACTGCAGCACAGCTGGCAGCACAGCTTCACCGAGAGCTGCTCGGCAAACACCAGTGGCTCCTAGAACCAGGGAGGGCAGGTGAGGGCAGGCCCTGGGGTGCTGACATGGGTCGGGGAACCCAGCCCCCCTCACAGGCCTGGGCTGCCCTCTCAGTGTAGAGGCACCATAGCTGAGGTGTGTCCCAAGAGGAGCCTGCTAAGGCCAAGGGCTAGACCTGAACTTGAGGGTGGCCAAGCAGGGAGGACTCCTCCAGCCGTGTCCTCGGCCTGCCAGCACCTACCCTCTACCTGGGATGGCAACAAGAAAGGGCCCCACATGGGTTCCTGAAGCTGGTCCCTGGGCAGCCCCCCACTGGGGTTGGGGACCTGGCCTGGGGTCCTTGATGTGGATCAGACAAGTTGGAGGGCTCTGACGAGGCCCTATCACCCCCTCATTGTGCCTAAGGGGAAAGTGCCCCCTGACCACGGCCACAGGACAGTAAGGGTCCTTTGGGACCATCGGCACTGAGCCCACCCCGTGACCACCACACCTACCGGCTCCTCCTCCTCCTCAGGCAGCGAGAACGTGGAGCGCAGGGACATGCTGGACTCGGAGTGCAGGGAGCGAACGGAGATGGCAGAGTCCGAGCGGCGTGGGGTGCTGATGGGGGGCTGCAGCATGGAGACAGACACCCATCAGCCAGGAGGAGGGCGGGGCCCAGCCCCTGAGTACACTGAGGGCAGTGGGGCCCCCAGGGCCACACCATCCTAGTGGGTGCTCACTCAGGCTGCAGGGACTGTGGTGTGTGTACAGGGAGCCAGTGCAATGCCCAGGCCCCCTCCTGCCCAGCGGCCCAGGCCCTGTTGGGCCGCCCACTCACGTCTGCCAACTTTCTTTGTGTAAATGGAGAGACTTCCTGCTATTCAATTCTGCGAGGACACGCTAGCCCTGCTTCCTGCTTCCCGTGAGGGAATGTGGGCTGCACAGGGGGCATCTCCAGCAGCCAATCCCAAGGCGGCGGCAGCCCTGGACTGCTGGAGCGAAGGGAATGGAAGGCTGGCCGGAAGAGGCTCCAGGTCCGCCTGGCCTCCCTGGCCGGGGACACTGGGGCAGGCAAGTGAGGCTCCAAGGGAAGGCTGGACATCCTAAAACCCTGGCCAGCCTTCCGAGTGCAGGAGAGATGGCCACGGGTGCCAGCCTCTGCCAGAGCCACCAAAGGTGAGGATTTGGGGGAATCCTGGGGTGGGGGCTGTCCCTTCCTCCCCTCCAGGCCTGGAACGCTCCAGAAGAGATCCTCCAAGAGCCACTGCTCCCACACTCCTCCTCTCATGCTGAGAAGCCTCATTCATGAGCCATAAACCTTCTGCCTCCACAGGCCCCTCCCCGTCCTGGCAGCTCTGGGGCCCAGTTGCCTCTGAGCCTCTGTGGGTGTGGGAGCTGTTGGAACCAACCCCTCCCCACCAGCCGTGTGTTGGACACACCAGGGACAGAGGGAGGCTTGGCCAGGTGCTGCCAGCTCTTCACAGAGGCCTGGCCAATTCCAGGGGCCGGCTTTCCCAAGTGAGGGCAGCAGATACCCGTGCCCCTGGTGTGCCCACAGAAGCACCTCCCTCACCAGTGCTGTGCCCACCTCCCTTCACAGCATCCCAAGTGGTGAGTTTGCATGGAAACGCCGCATGAGAAACCAGGGGAAAGTCAGAGGAAGTGAGTCAAACCATCCCCATGGGCAGCATGGAAACCAGAGAGCAAGAGCAGGTCCAGAAAGGAGCTGAGCCAAGCAAGCCAGGCCCGGTCTGGCTCCGCTCTCCACTGCCTGCCCGCCCTCCTCGGTGAGGAGGCCGACACTGTCAACCACCCAGGGCAGTGGAGGGGCAGCCTGCGGGGGCCCAGCAGCCAACAGAGAAGGTGCCCAGGTGGCCATGGCCTCAGGGCCCTCAGCACATTTCCACCTCTTTCGAGCCAAGATCATAACCACACACACAGGAAATTTGCTTCCTGGGAGGCCTGGATGGGAGGGTAGGCCTTCAGATCCCAGCCACACTCCCGTGGGCCAGTCAGGGGTTGTGCAGACGGAGGCAGGAAGAACTGGGGGGAGTGGAGCACGTTGTGTGACTTGTCCTTATGAAGGCCTAGTGCAGTGCCTGGCACACAGTGTGCTTGTTCATGTAATCAAAAAAACTCTTTTCTTCCCATCACATAGGGAACAAAGGCCTGGCAGCTCAACGTGAGAGGCCGGGAGGGTAGGGGAACCAGGAGGGTCTGTCAGGGGCCACCGCCAAGGGGAAGCAGAAAGCAGGGCACAGGCCAGGCCAGTGGCAAGAGGGCTCAAGCGTGCTCATGTCCCCCCACGTCCCCTCCAGCTGAACCAGTCCTTGCTTCCCCAAGCAGGTCCAGACCCCAGCAACAAGTGTCAGTGGACAGACAGGAGGGCGTGTCCACTATGATCCCAGCCACATGGCCTGGGCACCGACGGCAGGGTCCACTCTGCCTTGAACCCTTTTCTCGCTCTGCCGACCAGCAGTAGGGGACTCTCCGGCTTCCCCGCAGTCAGCACTGCAGGCCCCCTCTGCTGACCCTGTCTTCCTTCCCCACCTGCTGGGGCCCATCTCCCTCATCAGGAGCCCCTGCTCAGGGCTCCTGCCTCCACCTGGCAACCCACCCCTCATCCTCCACTTGGGCAGCTCAGGGGCTTAAAAAATGGGGATCAGATTGAACGTTCTGTGGCTCCCACCCACTCAAGATGGAGCCAAACACACCACACCCTGGTCCAGCAGTCCCTGGCGGCTGCCTCTCCATGAATCCAGCCTGGTGCTCAGGTCTCAGGGGTGCACATGTGCTAGCCTAGCCCTCTGTCCCCCAGCTCACTTCCCACGACAGACTGTAGCTAAGGGCTTCTGGAGGCTGAGCATCCCACCTTCAGCTTCTACTGGGATCCTGCCCCGGGAGGGATGAGTGAGACCCAGACCTACCATGCTGTCCTCCTCATCCCGAGGGGAGTAGGCCAGGGTGCTGGAGGAGGAGGGCGTCCTGCGGTGCTGTTTGTATGTGCTGGTCCCATCCGCTGCCGAGAAAAGAGGGCCAGGATGCCATGAGTGTGGGCCACAGAGGGAGGCCTGACTTAGCGTGCCCACGCTGGCTCCCACTGCCTTCTTCTGGATTTGAGGGCAACTTGGCTAGGGCTGGGCTGGGGGCAACGGGAAGTATACAGGGCTCAGCATGAAATGGCCCTGTCCTTCCGTGAGAGCCCCGGCCTGCTCTGTGGACCATCCCTAGCTCTCAGCCCTCCGCAGGGCCGGGCAGGCGGGGAGGGACCGGCTCAGGCGGCTCTCCAGGTCTAATCACTGGGGGTGATGGTGGACGGGTCTTCTCTCAGGCTCTGCCAGCAGCTCCCGGCACCCAGCCGGCCCTGGGGCCACTTTGCCCAGCTGAGGCTTGAGGTCAACACCTGAGCGATTACACCGAGGGTCAACGGTAGGAGCTGGGATAGCGTCTTACCTGACCCTCGAGGTAACTCGGCCGAGTGGGTTCTCCGACAGCCTCAGTCCATAGAGGAAACTGAGGCGTAGAGAGGTCTGAAGCTCCTCCGCCGGCATACGGAGAGGCCAGGACGGCAGCTCCTTTCCCACCTCCTCCCCTGGCTCCACCACAACCCGGAACTGCCCGCCAGCCTTCTTGCTTCCTCCAGGGAAGGCAGCTGGACGCTCTCGCCCTCCTCCTGCTGCCCGTCACCCTGGCTGCCCTAAGAAGGCACTGCTCAGGGGCCTCCCTCATAGCCCTGCAGGCGGCAGCCAGAGGCTAGGAATGGCTGCCACTGGCCTCAGGCCCCAGCCGGGCCCAGATGTCACAACCACCAGCGCTAAAGGCCTGGGTTTATGATTCCGGCTTCGACAGGCTGCCCTGTGACTGGGCCTCCCCCGTCTGCAATGAGGGGCCGGACAAGGCAACTGGTCATGCCCAGCTCTGGCCCATCCCTGCCGCCGAGGGGGTTGCTGGGCAGGAAGGAAGCGCAAGGTGGGCCTGTCATTCACTGCCGGGGAGCTTTCACCTGTGACAAGGCTGTGCCATCTCCACAGGTAGATGGGGATTAAGAAAATTACTTGGGTGATGAAGTTAGAGGTGAGGTTTATTTTTCTCACTCAGGAAAGCATGCCTAAGGAGAAAAGCGGGCGCTTCCAGAGCCCCTGAGGACGTCACCAGCGATGTAGACGCGCTGGTGTGAGCAGGTGTATGCAGTGGCCCTGTGACCACACCGCCACACGATCAGAGGAAACCAGGGAAAAGCAATTAGAAAACCGATTAGCAGCTAGTGTGCTCCTACGAGGGGCTGAGGGCCTGACAGGAGGGGCCCACCGCCCTCGTGACTTTGGGAAGGGAGCTGTACTCTCTCGTCCACGACCTCCTCGAACACACTAGCTGTGGGATCGGACTTGAGAAAGGACCCATGAGCACTTCTTCCCCCTACCCGTGCCTGCTAGGAGCCGGGGGCAGGCATGAGCGGGGGTCACTGTGACAAGGAACAGGTGTGCATGGGGTGCCGGGGAAGTTGGGACAGCCCTCCCTAGGCAGGTGATGAGCAAGGCACCAGAAAGAAGGAGCAAGGGGAGGCCGGGGGGCGGGGCGGGGCAAAGGACACAGCGACAAGAGCAGGGCCACAGGGAGCAAAACGTCAGACTCCTGCCCGGGGGGTGGGTGGGGGCTGAACCAAGCTGCCAGCTCCCACTCCCCACCCCACCCCACCAAGAAGGGCCCCACAGGGGGCCCAGATTCTGCCTCGCTGGGCTGGCCCGGCCTCACAGGCTCACCTTTGGTGATAGTGGTGACAGCTGAAAAGGCGGGCCCGAAGGTCGTTTCCATTCTGGTCTGGAAAGAGAACTGATGAGACTGTGGACTCCAGAGAGAACATGGACACACGTGGACATGCAATGACATGCTTTCACACTCACACACCATGTGTACACATCACAGACACACCACCCACACACACATCACAGCCTGCCCACTGGACCTCCACGTGGGAAGCAGACTGCTCTGGAAGCTCTACTGGGGGAACCTGGACCTATGGGGGGTACACAAAAAGCAGACCCTTACTCATGGGGTGTCCCTTACCCCGGAGGCGACGTCTGGGGTGGGAAGATTGGCAGGTCCCCCAGAGAAGCGGTTGTACCAGGCGCTTTTGCCCAAGCTCATGCTCTAGAGAGGCATCTAGGGTCCTCCGGCAGCGTCTCCTGTGGGGGGAGCACAAAGAGGGGCTTTAGAGATGGTGGCCAGACCCCGTCAGCTGGACAGGGCTGCTCCACACAGCAGCCTGCTCTGACCGGTCACCACAGGCACACCTCCACCTTTCTCCATCGCCAATACCAGCAAGGGCAGTCCATCCGGGCAGCTCCTTCCTCCCCTCCCTCCCGTCCCAGGTGACAGGCCTGAGGAAGGGAGGAGGCCCTGGGTGCAGGCAGGCAACGGGCACCCAGTTTTACTTTCCTTTAAGGCTTAACCCTTCGGAAATGCCCACCAGCTTCAACCCAGAGGTGGAGAGCCCCCACCCAAGCTCTGTCTGCTCCTCCGGGTCTGAGGGCCAAATGTCCCTGGGGCCAAGGCTGGGCACACAGTGACCAGGTTACATCCCGAGCTCCTGCCACGATGGCAGAGACACTGGCCATGCCCTGGAGGACCTACTGGGTGCCGTGCCTGGAGCCCAGCTCCTCACAAGCCTCGTCACATAAAGAAAGCCCTTCTGGGCGGGGCAGGGAGGGACTGAGAGAGGAGCCAACCCTTCACGCTGTGCAGGTCACCCACCTGGAAACAAAGGGCACCCTCTTGCCCCCCAACTGTGTGACTCCAATCTCAGGGGTTGGAGGCAGGGAGAAGGCAAAGTGTGAACCCTCCCAGGACTCCAACGATCCCACCCCCAGAAGAGGGGGACCAGAGTGGCCCAGGAGCACCGGCCAGGCCCGGGTATCCTGCAGAAGAGGGAAGATTAGAGATACTGACGACAGCCGGGAGACTGCTCTACTGCCGGCCGGCGCCCACCCTCCAGTGGTCTTCCTACCGATGACACACAACAGTCTGTAGGCAGGAGCCCCACCCGCCCCACTGGGATAGAGTCGGTTGTGTTGAGCCACAGGAACAGGCTTGAAGCTGGGCTCCCCATGGGGAGGGAGGCCAGACTCACTCTGCTCGCAGTGGAAGGCCCCTGTTCCCCCCACACTGTGGGAGAAGGTGGGAGACACACTGTGAGGTTAGTACAGCATGGAGGGCGACTGCACAGTCCAACTGGTTCTGTCATTGTCTCCACCAGGCCCTCCTGGCCTGGCCCATCTGGCAATGGCTCCCTCCCTACACACCCCAGCCACGCACTGTGACCTAGGGTCTGCCCAGGGGTTCTCCATGCGGGTCTCAGGGAGGGGGGCTGGCTCCTGAGCCCTGAGTCCCCTCACTGTGCTCATGAGCTACCTGCCATCCCTGCTGTCTCCTTGTCCCTCTCTCCCCATCTGCCTCTTCAAATGCCACCTGCAATGCCACCCTCCCAGCCTTCATGCCTCAGTCCTCCTCGGGAAGGCTCTCGGACCCTGAAGTTGGCACTGACACCAGGCACTACCCCTAACCCGGGTTCTGAATGCCCTTTGGGTCCAGTGAGAGAGGGAGTCCTGAGAGTTTGGCCAAAGCCTCCCCATCTGTCCGCCGCTCCCCCTGCTGTGCCACAGACCAGGCTCTCTAGTGGCTTGTCCTCTGGGGACAGGCAGAGTCTCCTGAGAGTGGGCAGTGCCCGCTCTCAGGCAGAGGTGTGACGATGGGCTGTCCGGGAGCCTCACCTCCAGCACCACTGCTGGTGTCCACACTAAAAAGGAAGTTTTGAGGGCCACCCTGCTTTGTGTAAGAACACCCTGCCAGGGTGAGGCCAAAAGAGCTCAAAGCAGGAGCTCCAGGACTCTACCAGCAGGTGGAAAGGCTCCGCCTTCTCAGGAAACCCAAGGTTCACTCATGTCTCGGCACCACAGGGCAGAGAGGAGGTGGACCCACAGGGAGGTCACTAGCTGAATCGACCTGCATTTACAATCCATCTGCTCCCTCCACTGCAAGCTCCCAGGGCCAAGAGGCCAGCTGATGGCTCCAGTGAGCAGTGACTGAGGTCCGGGGCCAGGACACCAGCAGGCATTCCCCCTGGGACCACGGCCAGCCCACCAGCCTCTACGGGTTCAGCCTGCCCAAGTGCAGTCTGGGAGAGCAGGCGGCTGGCTGTCCCTCGCTATAAAATGAAGTAAACAGAAAGGCATGCGGGGCTCACTGGAAAGTCCCGGGAGGCCAATAGCGGCCAGGCCCACAGCCCTGACACATAAGCTGCTGAGGCACCTACAAGATTGGCCCACCAGTCAAGCTGAGCCAGGCAAGGAGGGAGGGAACCGTTTCTGGGTTCACACGGGTTCAGCATACAGGCCCAGCCAGTGACTGGGGTGGGGGACCCAGTGCTGCAGTCCAGCACCCCTCATCAGTATGCCCCGCCCAGCCCTGAACACAGTGACTGCTTGCTAAACATCCCAGAATTGAGCAAGATGCTCTCAGCCCGGTCCCCCAAGGGCTGCATTTTGCAATAACAGTCTTCCCCTTATGGTGTCTTCCAGCCCTGCAGGCCAAAACCCCAGCTATGGGAACGCAGGGCCCAGCTGTCCTGGGGATGTGCCCTCCGCTACCCCCAGGGCAGGAGACCGCCACCCCCCAGGGCAGGAGACAGCTTCCCTACCCCATAGTCAGCCTGAGGCTCTCAGGCTGTCAGAAAGTGGTATCTAGAGCAAGAATCCTCACTGCCTGAAGGCCTGGTCTCAGCCAAACTGGGAAAAGCCTTGGGCTGAGCAGGCTAGGGAACCCTGGGTGAGGGTGGGGAGGGTGAGAAAGGCTTTCCTCCCCTCAGCTACCTCCAAGCCTCCACCTGGCCTGTTTCCAGAGGCCTCAGGGTAGCCCAGGGGAGGGGCCCAAGGATCTTTGTCTACCCAGGTCCATATCCAAGGGGCTCCTGGCCCTGGGAGGAGGGGGCGGCCGGGAGCCCCTTGGATATGGACATAAGAAACCACAGAGTCACCTGCCGTGCTCTAGCCCCTCTTTAGGCAAGCCCCCACCAGACCCCTTCTCTGAGCAGCCTGCATGGGAGGGCAGGCCAGCTAGTTGGGAACCTCTCCCCAGCCCACGCCTGGAGAGAGCCCATGATCTGCTGCCCCCCAGCGGGGTTGTGGATCAGGTGTAGCTGGAGTTCCCGCCCACTTGGGTCCTGTGGCTAGTAGCCAGGGGAGTGGGAGGCCCAGGCTGGCCATGCTGAAGTCAGGGGCAGTGGGGTGGCCAGATGCAGGTCCCCACTAGGCACCAAGCCTTGCCTTGAGGCAGCTCCTCGAGTACCCCCAGGCCTTTGCACATCTTGCTCCCTCTGCCCCGCATGCTCCTCAAGCAACTTCCAGGGCAGTCTGCTTTCTATAGGTCCCCCAACCCACCCCAAACCTTTCAGGAGCCTTCCGTACTCTCTCCGCGCCCTGTTTCTTTCATAGCACCTACCACAGTCTTCATGAATTTGTCTTGTGTATTATCAGCCCTACGCCCTCTCTAGATCACCGGTTGTCAAGAAGGGAGGATTTTGTCCCCCAGGAGATGTTTGACAACATCTGGAAGACATTTCTGGTTGTCACAACGGGGTTGGGAAAGGTTACTGGTATCTACCGGGCGGAGACCAGGGATGTGGCTCAACACTCTAAAAGGCACAGCGGAGAATGATTGGCGCTGAGTGTCAACAGTGACGGGGGTAAGAAATCCTTCCCTAGAAGAGCCTCTGAGAACTGGGATCCTGCTCTCCACGGTCTTCCGGCGCCTACAACAGTGCCGGGCACACCGGCGGCGCTCAATAAACGCAGGAAGAAGGAATGAATAAAGAGGAAGAGGAAAAAAGAATGGAGCGCGCGATGGGCCAGCTGACAGTCAAAGAAAGGGACAGGAGCGGAGACCCCGTTTCGTCTCAGCCCCGCCCCCCCAGGCTCAACCCTTCGCCGACCCCGAAGCACCCGCCCCCGCCCCACCGTGCGGCTCCGGGGCGTGAGCCCCCGGCCGGGCGCGCCGCGGGGACACTCACCCGCCCGCCGCCGCCGCCCGAGAGTGGCAGCGCCACCCTCCCTCTTCATCGTGCCCCCACGGCCGCCGGCTTGGAAAGGGACTGGACGCGCGAGCCGGAAGTGCTCAGGCGCGGAGCCCGTCGGGACTTGTAGTTCTCCGGCTCGCTCAAGGCCCGCGCAGCCGCCTCCAGAGCGACTCTTCAGAAACTACGACTTCCGGCGACTCAGATGTCGCGGGACGGGATTGGCAACTTAAGAATCATTCTATGTAGCAGGTAGGAGTCTGATTGGCTCTGTGCATCCGTCACTCACAGGTTTAATAGTCTCTTCAAAAGGGAGGCTCGCCCCAAAAAGAAATGCTGTGGCGCTATTGGTGGAAACAAGGAGTAGGGAGCGGAGCGTATCAGCATCGGGGGTGGAGGATGGTACTTCCGCTGGGATTGCCCAATCGCCGAGGTGGGGCAGTTTCTATAAAAGCTTGAACCTCAGCCATTCTCGCTCTTTTGGGTTAAACTTCAAGGCGGAAGAGGGTTATGTCCGTGTGCTACGCTTGGAGTGGACCTGAGCACCGAGTGAAGCTGAGGGGGTCGCCCAAACCCGTAGGCCGGCGTAGCCCCGGGGCCAGCCTCGGCCTGAGCGCCATCGTGGTCCTCGGCACTGTAACATGCTCCTTTCGCGCTCCCCTCCCCAGTTCCGGCGGGGAAGTCCGAACCTCCAGACCTGCAGCTCCCTACAGGTGAGACTGGGCCCGGCCTGGCTTTCCCGATGCCGCCCAAAGCCTATGATGAATTGCTTTATTTTCTGACACCTCGTATGAAAACTGCACGTGCAGTCTGATTATTTTGCAAGACTGAGGCTTCGGGCCTCCACCTGCCATGGGCGGGTGGGTCTGGGGGTGAAGACGGATGGGGAGAGTGGGCTTCTGTCTAAACTGCGGCACTCCTTGCCTTTCAGTGCCGTTGGTGGGCTGGTTGGAGACCTTGAATGTGAACCAGCGTCAGTCAGTCCAGGTGCCTGGTGGTAAGTAAGGCTGGAGCAGTCCTGTGAGAAGCAAATCATCTTTTCATACATCTTTCATCCCAAGATGTAACCCAGACATGGTGTGACTTAACCTGAGACTAACAGTCCACATCTACCCGAAGTGCTTAGCAATAAAGCAAACGTGGTATGAGTTGATTGGGGTGCACGAGTCTTTATTTTCACACCAAACGACTCCGTGGGAGGACGGGCTCATCGCCGGGCAACCTTGGGAAGGGGTAGAGGCATGAAAGTGAAACTTAATACTTGCCACCTGCTGAGACAACCGCCATTTTTGCCTGTAAAGCCAAAAAAGGATTTTGTGTGCCTTTTGCCCTGGGGGGGGCGTCATGAGGTGTTTTTAATGTTTTTATTGATGTTAGAGAGGGATAGATCATCAATGAGAGAAACACTGATCTGTTGCCTCCTGCACGCCCCACACTGGGGATTGAGCTCACTCCCTGTCCCACCTCTTCCAGGTCAAAAAACAACTAGGATCTTCTCTGGCCCCACAAAATAATTTTGAAATCTTAACTTCCACTCCCGGAGAAAAAGGGGTCTGGCTGGCAGCTCAGGCACATGCCGATGTCTCCATTGGTGAGATGACCAGCAGCTGCTCAGAGAGGATGCAGTCCCCCAAAAGGGCCGTAAGTGGGAATTCCAAGTAGACTCCCCAGCCCACATGGTAACATGCCTCCTACCAGGGCTCCAAAAGACTGCCCACACGGCAGTCAATTATGAAACAGTTCAAAGACATTGCCCAAGGCCAGGGGGAAATTCTGCCCTTTTTCTCTCTCCTAACAGACAAAAAATTTACTGCCCTACATCCCACTTCTAGGGAAGGACTAATTTTTAAACAGGAATTCCATCTCTCAATTTGTACCAAACATCAGATGCAAATTACAGAAATTATAGGACATCCCTCAAACCCCACAAAAGGACCTTTTAACCCTTTGCAGTCCAATTTTATTTTTGGAATTCAAACAGTCTGGTCCAAATTAATTGACGGGATTGAATGTTTAACCAGTTTGTGGTGTCTCAGCCTCCATGTTGGATTGAGAGGGGTTAAATATAGCCTTTAAGGTTTTAACAACTGGGATAAGGAGGCCAGAGTACAGAAACAAGCGATCAGGCTATCAGGGCTCTTATGGGAATAAGCCTTCTCTCAGGGTCAAAAGTCCCAAATCATTCAAATGTAACAAGGAAGGACATTGGGCTGAGGCCACACCCTCCCTGGAGCTCTGTCCCTGCTCAAGGCAGGGTTATATCCCTTCCTTCAGGACATTCAGACCATTTACCAAGACTCCTGGGCTTGGCCAGAGAAGACTGGGGCCCTAGGGTAGCAGGTAAACCAATCTCTTGATATTCTGCCTTACTGGAATTTACAGACCCTGCTTACCTCGAAAGTCTATTGTGGGAGTTGGCCTGCTTTCTAAACCCCTAGTCACCCCTTTAAGTTGTCTCCAATAAGGAATTCCTTTTAGTCGTTTCTAATTTGCCCAAGTGCTCAACCCCCATTCTCCACTGAGACATTTTGTCAACCTCCCACTCCCTGCCTTCCTAATTAACCCAAAGTATGGCATACCTCAACCCTTCCATTGCCTGACATCACAGCCAGATTTAAATAAAGCGGGGAAAAAATCTACATTTTCCTGTCAACATTTCCTATCCCTAGAGAACAGAAAGGGCTTCCAGCCTGTCATAAATGTCCTAAAACCTAATAGCCCCACTAACTCCCCATACAATACCCCCATTGTACTCCTCAAGAAACCAGATAGCTCCTACCACCTAGTGCAGAATCTTTGGGTCCTCAAGCTGTCCTCCCCACACATCCCATGGTACCCAACACCTCTCACTTCGTGGTCCTGGACCTGAAGTGTGCCTTCTTTGCCATCCCTTTACACCCAGACTCAGATTCTCTGCCTTCACTTGGACTGATCTCACAACCCAATAATCCTGTCAGCTGTCATGGTGGACTGTCCTTCCCCAAGGCTTTTGAGGCAGCCCCCATCTTTTTGGACAGGCACTGGTGTCAGACCTTCCCAATCTCCACCTTGGCCCCAGTATTCTCCAATATGTAGACTACCTCCACCTCTGTAGCTCCTACTATCTCCCACCAACATACTACTACTATCCTCAATTACTTAGCAGAGAAAGGATACCAAGTCTCAAAAAAGATTCAACAGTCAGCCTCCCAGGTCACTTACATGGGCCTCACCACAACTCCCCAACACCGTGCCATCATCCTACATGGAAAGGAACTTACTGTCTCCCTTTCTCCCTCAAAACAAGACCTCTCCTTGGGACTCACAGGGTACGTCCACATTTGGATCCCCAATTTCAGTGTCCTTGCTCATGCCTTATATCAGACACCAAGAGGTCCACTGACAGAACCTTTAAATCCCACCACTAATAGCCCATATTTCAAAAGACTTCAACAAGCTCTCATTTTGGCTTCTCACTCAGACCTCTCCAAACCAACCTTTCAACTAATGAAAACTAAATGCCAAACACAACCCTGCCACTCTTACCCATTCCTAACAAAGATCTCACATTCATGCAGAGAAATTCTTGACTTCAAAACCCCCCACTTCTCAAATATGGATCAGCCTTTATCTAATCCTAATTACACTTGGTTTATTGATGGTAGCTCCTGTTCCCAACCCTGTAATATCACTCGATGGACTTGTTGAGTCAGAGTCTCTTCCCCAAGGAACTCCCTCCCAGAAGACAACTGACTGCCCTAACTCTGGTCACGGATAAGACCGTCCATGTATACACTGATTATAAATATGCCTTTCACATCATACACTCTCATGCCTCAAATCTGGGAAGAAGGGATTCTTTTAAAAAAAAAAATATATATATATTTTTTTTTACAGAGAGGAAGGGAGAGGGATAGTTAAAAACATCCCGATCAGCTGCTTCCTACATGCCCCCTACTGGGGATTGAGCTCACAACCAAGGTACATGCCCTTGACCGGCATCGAACCCCCTTCAGTCCGTGGGCTGTCTCACTATCCACTGAGCTAAACCAGTTAGGGCGGGATTTTTTTTTTTTAATCCTCACCTGAGGATATTTTTCCATTGATTTTTTAGAGAGGGAAAGACAGAAATATTAATGTAAGACACATCAATTGGTTGCCTCCTGCACATGCCTGGAGTAGGGCCTGGGCCAGGGAGGAACCTGCAACCAAGTACATGCCCTTGACCGGGATTGAACTCGGGACCCCTTGGTACATAGGCCAATGCTCTATCCACTGTGCCAAATTGGCTAAGGCAGAAAGGGGATTCTTAACCACCAACAGCTCCCCCATAACCAATGCCCCCTTAATCCTCAGTCTCCTACAGGAAGCAGACCTTCCTAAGGCAGCAGCAGCCATACACTATGGCAATAATCCCGTAATACAGGGCAATAACTGGGTGAACCAGGAAGAACAGTGGCCCAAAGAAAACCCTCCTCTCAGCTCCTAGCTATTTATAACCACAATACACACCTGGGGAACTTGAGTCCCTCCTTGTTCTCGGAGCCACCCAGGAAAACTCCTAGATAAGACTTCAGGGCACACATGTCCTCCGCCAGGGACAAGCTCACCATATATTATGGGCCATTTATGACTCCTTACACAGAGCATACAGACCACTTGTACAGCTTTTAAGACCTCTTATTACATGTCCTGACCTAGCTTCCTTATTACAAGATATCAGCAAAACTTGCTCTGTCTGTTGTACAGTATCTCCACAAGGACACATTAGATCTCCTTCCACACTCACCAGGCCAGGGGCCAGGTTCCTGGACAAGACAGGCGAGATGATTTCACTCATATTCCCCCTATTAAAAGAAGAAAATATCTTCTGCCCCTGGTAGATACCTTCTCAGGCTGGGTAGAGGCATTCCCTACCACATCTGAGAAGTCGTCTGAGGTTACACAGGCCCTCATACAACATGTCATTCCTTGATTTGGACTGCCCACCTCCTTACAGTCAGACAATGGACCTGCCTTTATATCCCAAACAACCCAAGAAATCTCTTCTATTCTGAATATCCAGTGGAACTTATATACCCCTTACTGAACCCAATCTTCAGACAAAGTAAAAAAGGCCAACTCCCTAATTAAATCCCATTTAACTAAATTAAGTCTTGAGACTAAGGAACCTTGGACCTCCCTCTTACCCCTCACCCTCATATGCATCCGAGCAACTCCCTGGGCCCCATCCTTTCTCAGCCCCTTCGAATTTGTGTGGAAAGCCCTTCCGACTAGGAAATTTACCTTCCAAGGAAAACCCTTTAGGAGATTATATACCTCCTAGAGGCCCGATGCATGAAATTCGTGCAGGGAGCTCAGCCCTCGCAGCCCTGGCTTCGTCCAGAAGGTCACTTGGCTGTCCGGTCTAATTGGCATATTACACTTTTATTATTATAGATAACCTCGTCAGGCAACTAATGAGTGCATACAGACCAGATTTTTCCACAGCCCTTTACGGGAGAGATCCCTCCCACTCCTCTACAGCCAGGGGACTGGGTCCTACTGAAGGAAATGCATCCATCAAATTACGGCCCCAATGGCAAGGCCTATATTAGGCCTATATCACTCCTCTGGCCACTAAACTGCGTGGCCACCCCACAGGGTTCCACTTTTCTAGGTTAAAACAGGTCCCCAGAACACCATCACCACAGAAGCCCCTGACATTGAAATCCCCAAGATACTACAACCACCAAGTCGGACCCACGAAACTTCAACTCACCTGCATTCCAGAGGAAGAAGACAAATGAGTGAGCACCTTCCTAAGGCAGCACATGTCCCCTCTGTACAACCCTCGATACTTCTGAGCCCCCTGAAAGCCTACCACCTCTTCCCCAACAAATCCTCTCATCTTAGCCATGGCCCCTCTCCTCCTTCATGTCTGGATTCTAACCTATGGGACTCTTATTTACAAGGAGACTTCAACTACCCATGGAACAAAATCCCTACCTGGATCCAGAAAACATCCTCATTTTCCCTTGGGGGAACCCAAGCCCTGGAAACTGGGACTAGCTCTCCTCCTTTCCCTCTGCCAACCCTGTTCTCCCACTGCCCTGAAAAACTTCCTTACCTCAGTTCTCTTAACCGCACCCATTCTCTTCTAAACAAACCAAGCCCAGCACTAGCTCAAGACTG